TGCTTTACCTTTTACGTTATTTTTCAATAACTCGTTGAGTGGGGCTTGCGTGATTGCAGCTCTAGGTAGAAATCTCCGGTAGAAATTTATCATACCTAGAAACGGTCGCAGTTGTTTGACAGTGTCCGGCCGCGGAAAGGTTCGAATTGCGTCAACTTTATAAGGTAAAGGACGTGTACCTATCTCGGATACCAGGTAGCCCAAAAAGGTTACTTCGGGTTTACCGAAAAAGCACTTGCCGGGATTTATTACTACACCGTACTTCGCTAATCGTTCAAACAAAATGTTCAAATGCTTCATGTGTTCTTCTGCGGATTCAGAGGCAACTAGAATATCGTCTATATATGCATAGCAGAAATCTAAACCACGAAGTACTTCGTCAATGAAGCGTTGAAATGTTTGAGCGGCGTTACGCAAGCCGAAGGTCATAAACCGATATTCGAATAATCCGAACGGTGTAGTAATTGCGGTTTTCGGGATGTCCTCTTCGGCGACCGGAATTTGGTTAAATGCACGTACTAAGTCCACTGTCGAAAAAATTGTCTTACCACGGAGACACTGAGAAAAGTCCTCAATGTGTCGAACCGGATAGCAATCGGGAATTGTTCTTGCGTTGAGCATACGATAATCTCCACACGGTCTCCACTCGTCACCTTTTTTGGGCACCAAGTGCAATGGTGCTGCCCAACAGCTTTCTGAGGGTCGAGCAATTCCTAGTTTGAGAAGTGCATCGAATTCCTTCTTGGCAGCTCGGAGCTTGTCTGGAGCGAGACGTCGTGGTTTCTGGGCGACAGGTGGTCCAGGAGTGGTTACAATATGGTGTCTCGTTTCGTGATGAATCTCCTTGGGGGTTCCATCTGGGCGTGTAATATCTGGAAACTGGCTCAAGAGGTTGTGGTATGGGGAAGAACTAACGACAGTTTTTACTGATGGTACTTCACTGTCCACTACTTCTCCTGGAAAGGTGAGGGTAGTGGTGGAATCAACCAAGCGGCTATTGAGTAGATCTGGGAGCAGTCCAAAGTGTGCTAGGAAATCTGCTCCTAGGATGGGTTTGGAAATGTCGGCAATCACAAACCTCCATGTGAAGTCCCTCCGTAGGCCTAAGTCCAGGGTGAATGTACAGGTACCATATGTTGCAATGTCAGTTCCATTGGCCGCGGAAAGTACGTAAGATGACCTTTCACGTGGCTCTCGGAGTAGACGACGAGGAAAAACACAGAGATCTGCTCCTGTATCCACCAAAAACTGAGTGTTTGTTGTCCGATCGCGAACAAACAGACGGCGGGATTGGATAGGGCAATAGGTACCCGCTATTGCCGATTGCCCGATTGGTTTTCCGACGACCAGCTGCAGGGAGTGATGCACCTGTTGGCTGCCTCTCCGTGTGTTCTATGGTACCAACACATACCAGATTGAGAACGCCTTGGTGTACGCGAGCGCCGCGGCCGAGACACGGATCGCGATCTCGTTCGCTCTAAATCGCTCAACCGCGTTTCGATGTCATCTAGACGCACTATCACACGCTCTAAGTCTATAGCAATTCTTTGCATGTCACTAGAATGGTTGATAGTTGGGGCGGATGCAACGGCGATGGTTGACCGTGACGATAATATATCGTACACGCGATCGGCTGTTTCAGCTGCTTCGCACAAGGTGTTGCTTGTTGAAATTGCCACCGTTGTCTGTATATCCGTCGGAAGACGACTTTGCCAAATCGTGCGCACTAGTGAGTCTGGTACAGCGGTTCCTGCCAAATTTTGGAGTCGTCTCAGAAAATGAGACGGTTTATCATCGCCCATTTGTTCTTGCTGAAGGAGCTGCTTAGTTTTATCTTCCTGTGAAGTACTCAATCTCTTGATTAATCCTTCTTTGAGACGGTCGTAGGAAAGGTCGTCGACCGGTTGTACAATTATATCTCGTACTTCACTACTGTACCGACGAGGTAATGCTTTGAGGACGCTCAGGTAGCGTTTGGCGTGGTCAGTTATGGCCTCTAATGTGAATTGTATCTCCACTAATTGAAACCAAACTTCGGGATCAGATGGGTTGAACTCAGGTAACGACGTCGCAACCGAAACTGTGACTGGGTTGACGAATAGTCCTGCGTCGTTATTTGGCATGTTTGATGCAATTTTCTTCACACTAATATCACTCACAAAAGTCTTATCACGTCGGGGTCACCACTTTGGCGTATCAGTTGTAGGAAGAACTGTACGCCTTTTTGAATAGTCTTTTCGTGAGGATATTTGACTTGATGTGGCAATGCCGAACACTATGACGGTTGAATCGTATATTGTCAAAAAAATTAAAATCCGAAGTGCCGTTTATACGAATGCCAACTGTATTACCGATAAGATCGAGATGTGTGACTGTACACTCTGAAGGTTCAAGAATAACTCATTTTTATTAAATTGTTTATTGAGCTAGAAAGGTAGGTCTCTATAAGCTTTACCGAGAATAATAATTAGGGCTCGGTATTACCATCCTATAACCAGATGGTCATGAAAGATCAATGTGAATATTACAATAAGTATAGTTGGCATTTCGTAGAAAGATAGAAAAAACCCTTATCGGGAAAAACCCAACACTTCGGATGATGAAATATGTACAGAGTATTTAATTTAATATGGTATACAGGATAATTATTTAAATACACAAATATATACACAAGTGGGAAAATTCCCCACACTTCTATCATTCTTCAATATGTACTCAACCACAGACGTACTTTCCATAATTGAAGTGATATTTGATAGGAAGGATGGATTTATGTAAATAGTTCCGAAACCCTCTGTGTTGAGATAACGAAATTTTGTACATGTATATAACTTTTCATGCCCGATTTGGAAATATCAAGAATTTTCTGAAATTTTGATCAAGGGCGTGGGAAATAGGTGGGGCTAAGGGCATTTCTTCCCTTCTTCTACTTTTTCAATGCCATTCTCGACAGTTTCATCAGGAAATATCGAAATATCATAATTTTCACTTAAAAATAATACTCCTGTTCAGTTTCGATAGCATTCACCATTTTCGAGATGAATAGAGTTTGAGAGTATGCTGCGTAATAAAAATAGTGCTTTCTCCTTATAATAGGGTGGCAAATGTTCCCAAAAATTACTTTTTCGGCAGCCGTCTGCGAAGTATTCACTTCCCGGACGCTTTTTCTTCGAGAAAGTAGTTTTTTTTGGCCTAGTCCGGGAAGTACGTACTTATCACATCGTTGTTGTCACTGTAACTATCAAAATTTTGGTAGATATGGTTTTGATATTGATGAAATAAATCTCTGGTGCGCTCACTCTTCATTTGTTTCGTCAGACTGGTTCTCGATATAAACAATTGAATTTCAGACGATGACGTGGGGTTCACATATCGAATGTTAGATGGCGTGATTCTTAGAACTTATGATCAACATCAGTTTTACCAACCTTGATGCGGCTAAATCGCAAACTGTATTCCCTATCTTCATTGGTCACAATTCGATCACACTTGTCACATTGATGCCTGTAATTTTGGTACGGCACCAGATAAAATTTAGCGACATTCACCCACGCCATGTTATGTTCATCGAAGTAGGCGAAAATCAAGGAATTGTAAAACAGGAAAGGATTGAAGTGCGTACACCAGAGGTTTATTTCATCAATGTTTTGATAAATGCAGATGATAATTACCATAGCAGCGAAATATCGACTGACAGCTATTTGACATGAAATTAGTTGACATTTTGATTTTTGAAAGTTTGGTTGCAATCATCGCAATAATCTATCGAAAGCAGCTGCGATAGTGAGTTTGAAAATGTCCATACGAAATTTCCAATAGTAGGTATAGGTATTCTGTTCAAATTTCAGTATTTGATACATATGAGAATCAATAAAGAAGAAATTGTATTCTACAAAGAAATATAATATGGAAATGTGTCTCATTGATTTTTTATTCTACATGGTTGCCGAAAAATAAGTGTACGCAACAAGTCCAAAGACAGTTTTTTGGACTCGCAGACTTCCAGGACTCGCCTACGGCTCGGCCTAGAATTTTGTCTACTCGTCCAAAAAAAAAAACAGTATTTTCCGGACTTGTTACGTAAATTACTATTGTTTCTAGAATCTGTGGTGGAAATCTGTCTATATAATTTCGGGACACCCTGTATAGTATCGAATTTCTAGATCAGCCGATCTGATTAGTTGAAAAAACGATCGTTGGAAAAACTTGAGCGCGTCAGATTGGGCAAGGTGAGTTAATTACATGCAGAAATGCGTGCATAATAATAGTAATAATACCCCCCTAACATCACCACTGAAAATCAGATTGGCCTATAATGTTATCACTATTGCATTTGGCATTTGGCCTATTTGGTCTATTCAGTAAATTAACGTTATAATCCGATATCGTTACGTTAACGATACATTGGCCAACGACATTATGAACGATAAATCCTAGTTGCTGATTCAGTATCGAATATATCGAGTATAGTGAATGTTGGTAACAGAATGATGATGGTCTGTGGCTAAACATGCGTGAAATGTTTGTCTGTTCTTGAAAGTTTCTGGTTCATTTCGTTCAAACGTTCAAGAAAACAAGAAAATGAAATTTTCCCGCTTTTTTATCCAGCCTATACATTCAGCAAACAAGCACATCTCATCTGGTAACTAGTAACTCGAATTGGTTTTTATTTGTAGTAGATCACTTCTTGGTATTCCTTTCTGTCTTTGTTGTTGCCTAAATTCAAAGATCTATTCTATTATAATAATCAACTAGGAAAAAGCCAAATACTCAAAGTGGAATGCAATGGTCACAAATAGAGAGAAACTCAAAGTTGTCGTTAGCAACAGAATAACAAATATCGTTCCGTAACCATTCATCCATTGGAATATTCCCAATGTTTGTTTAAAGGTTTCCTAGTAATCCAATACGACTTATTAAATTTTGTTTCAAATTTGAAACTTCATCTCCACTGTGTAACTAGTGAAATTAGGAGCAAAACAGATCAATATGGCACTCACCCAGAAAGTTCCTGGTATGTTTCAGCTGCTGCACCAGCACCCTGCAAGCTCCTGCAGGAATTTGCGCTACCAGGGAGTAACCAGGAGGCAGGTCAGGCCTCGTGTAGATGCCACTGACGCTCCTGCAAGTGGTTTTCAGGCAAGCAGGACATTCTTCCTGCTGTTCGTCGACGCTACCTATGACGCCTCTGGAGTTGACCACCTGCAAAGAAAAAAACGTTAATTATTTCCTCATCACAATGTTCAATATTGTCAAGAAGTATAAATTCCTATGGAATAATCTCACTCAAACTCGCGTTCATTTCAAGATCTTCAATTATAAATCTACTTTTCCAAAATTGAAACATCCAGTACAGTGTAGTTTCGATCAGGTCAGCGGAGTTCATAGACGTCAGTTCCTGTAGAATTTGCAAAAACCGCTTACCGTGCGATAATACCTAGGTAAGCAATATCGAAAGGTAATGGCCATTCCCATCTGCCATCTGGCAGGCATGGCAAATATCAAATTTTATATGAAGAAAGCCTTGACTTTTTATTTGGGGATGAATGTGGTTGGGTGGTGAAATGATCAAAGTCTCTCGCCTAAAAGCCAAGCGAGTAGCTAAGTTACGACCTATAGGAGGGTCAAAACATCTGAGTTGCGACAATATTCGTCAGAAGCAGTGGTAATTATGCTATATAGAATACCGAGTGTTTCTCAAAAGTGGCTCACTCCTATAACTTTTTTCTTTTAACAGATAGAAAACTGGAATTCAGAATCATTTGACGCGATCAATTGTTTTCTGTCACTTCCGGATGAGCCATATTTTTTTATCTCAAATGGGACACCAGGTATATTTTCAGTTATTTTGATAGATAATAAAATTGAGAGTACAATGGGTGTGAATGTCATTCGGCACTTTTTGACATTTATCACATCCTCAAAATTCCCTTTTTCAATTTTCAATCTAGAGTGCCATGAATTAGTTAAAACAGTTGATTTTGATAGTTTGATTGAGGTTTTACATTTCCTTTGTTTTACAGGTTGAGTCAAACTTCACAATATCGTAATTATTAAGCATTGTTGGTTGAAACAACGAAAACGTCACATTATGGCCTGTGAAAATAATAATCACAAAAATACAAAATAAATTTGATGAATATAGTTTTCAGAAAATTTATTTTATATTTGTTGCCAAAAAAGCATGCGAAAGAACCACTGAAAGACAGGTATGAATATTTAATTTGCTATTCAAAACTGGGCCACGAATTCATTATAATATCAAGCACTTTTCACCGGGATCCACTGTTGCTGGGAGAAGCATGAAATAAACACATTAGATGTTGATTCCAAACAAACTGTGATGCCAGGGCTATGGATTATACATCTAGTCTGTTTTATGATCAAAGATTGACATTATCGATATTATTAATAGTATTGATATCGATAAACCGACAATTATTTAGTTGATTGTTAAGTTAAATATTAGAATATTTGCGTTTGCAAATTGAATTGTCAAAATGACAGGTTATACCACTGTCGATGGTAGGTATGTACCTAAGATATTTACGGAGGAACAGGGCATATAGGATCATTCTGAAAATCTGGTTATGCAAGTAGTTGCTCTTGGTCAATCAATCTAAATTTTTTTCTTCAGCGTTGCCTCTTTTACCAGAAAGTAGCAGTAACTTTGCTATTTCAAATGGAAAACCCTGTATTTCATTGAATTTTTAGATTCTCCCTGCAAAAGCTGAATGATTACAGAGATATACAGTATGTTCAAAATCGAGATTTTCAACTTTTTGTTTTTGTCGAAACTATTCATTCTCGGTTAAAACGGCTTTCATCTCCGTATCTCAACTTTTGATTTACTATCTACTTACATTCAATTGGAACATATACAAGGTGATCAGAATTCCGAATCTTGTCACGGTAACGTAGGAAAATGAAAAAAGTGCTACTTCGCATATTGTTATCAAGACGCGACCATTTCATGCGCTAATCATTGGATGATATAAATTATAAATTTGGAATGAAACTGTTCCATTTTGAAAATACCTGAAATCGAAAATTCAGTTATTTTTTAAATTTTATCTGCAACGAATATCATTTTTTCAAATACATGATTCGATCTGAGTGCGTCGGTAATCCAAAATCGTTTACCATGCATATTGGTTGACTGGTTGTTAAAACGAATTGGTCATAAAAATTGTGGGATCATAAAAATGCTAATATTGGTTTAGCAGGCACGATTGGAATTCACAAATGAATGAATAACGAGACAGTTGAAGAGCTTTATTGAATGGAAAGAGACTGCTAAACATCAAAACGACCTTCCAAATTCATTTACTTTACGACCGATTTTTTTTTCAATTTAAAACTAGGCTAATTTCAGATTTTATTTGATTTTTCAGGTGAATGAGATATAGTATCTCGATAGTGGCTTTTTCATGACGTTGAGAAACTTCAAATCATGTTATGTTATACGTATTCTTCCTACTCACTTTCTTCTTCGATAAGATCAACATGCAAATAAGTTCATCAATAAAAAGATCATCAAACTGTGGATATGGTATCGAAACGACTCATTTAAATATTGGTTCAGATGCTATTATTACTTTCAAAACGATCTCCACGCAAATGATCAGCATTTGATAATTATTTTTTCAACAACACCTACATATCCAATCTATATCTAGTGCTATTTCATGTCATTATTCGAATTATATATGGTGGCGCTAATTTCGACTAATGTGTCATACCCCTTTACTAATAAGAAGGTAATCTGTATATCGTTTTTTTTTTTGTTCTGGTTCCCACGAAAAGGGATATCCTGTAATGTTCAGAGAACATCGTGAGAACCAAGGTAGGAATTGGTGTTCTTCTTGAATTTCTGGAGGTTATATGCCTCGGGGAACGCCTCCCTTGGCAATGTGTTCCAGAGCCTCGCTGTTCGTTGGATGAACGAGTCTTTGGAAAGAGATGTTCTGCAGGTCTCCAATGTGACCACGAAGGGGTGCGAAGCCTCAATTCGACGCGTTATTAATCTCGCGGGGACTGCCAAGGGAGGAACTATTGTTGATATTTGAAAATATCTATAAAATGAAGCCAGATCGCCAACTTTTCTACATTGTTCCAGAGAAGTGAGTGAGTTTGTGAGCGAGACATCACCCACGAGACGAATTGCCCTTTTTTGGACAGAATCCAATAGTTTCAGGATATGTTTGGGTGCTGCACTCCAAATATGGGAACAGTATTCCAGGACAGGTCGGATCTGTGCCTTATAGATCATAAGCAGCTGACTGGAAGTAAAATAGCTCCTCCATATTTCAGTAGTTTGAGTTCACCAACCTATTTGTGTGGCGAGAGTTTTTAAATGAGTGTATTTTGAAGCTTTTAAATCTCTCACAAAGTATCTCTGGCAGAGACTGGAATTGATAGTGACACATTTTCAAAATATCAAACAAATTACAGGGACCAGCTGACAAACTACTTAATCTAGCGTTTCGTGTATAACCCATTAAGAGTAGATGTGTTCTAAAATTAAAGTAAAAGGTACCATTTGGTGATCTTGACCTTCCTAAAAATAGAGTTCAAAATATTCAGCCTGGTTTTTCATCACTATCTTGAGTTCAGAAGATACGCGAAAGACAATGTGATTTCTGCTATTGAATAAGCTTGTTATATACAGAGTGATTCCAGAATTAGGGCAATAAATATGACACAATAAATGTCCAAAAGCTGTTTCTGGAATATAAAAAATCTCGAAATACCAAAACAAACGCTTTTATTCTATTAATTTGTTTTTCGTATTCTATTATACTCATTCAATTTTTAGGAGACACCTTGTATATAATAGAGCGAACAATGCTCAGTCATCAAATTTCATTAAAGATCTCCATGCTATGGGCTGAAAAATCGGCTACCCTTTCTTTAATTTTCTCCAATAAAAACTGTTAATGTTATAGGGTGAAGTGCAAACCAGGTTTGAGTACAAAATAGTTATTTATGCAACAAGTGCAAAAAGTGAATCAGGCCGAGTTGGACAACACGTCGAGTGCAATAAACAATTTTTGCACGAGTTGCTTACAAAATTTTTTCTACGTTCATGCAAAAAGCAAAAAATGATTTATTGAAGTGCGGCACTAGGTAAAATTCTGTTAATTGTCAGAATTAATTTTTGACTGACGTTTCTATAACCACAGTTGCAATATAAAGAATGTTTGTCATGATGACAGCACGTTGAAGTAGAATGACAGATGAGTGCAATAAAAACTTTATTGCACTAAGTGCAATAAAGAACTTCTTTTTCTACTAAATAAAGTTCAATAAAGTTCTGCTTTTTGCATGAATGTAGAAAAATATGTTTTTTTTTCGGACATTCAATATAAAATTCAAAAATATCTTCAATAGTCTGATCGAAAGCAGTGTAGGCCAATCCTTTTTTATTGTTTTTTTTTGTGGCAATAACTCTTCGTAAACGTAATTGATGTTAATGCAATGTTTGCTTTTCTTATTGAATTTGTTATTATTAACATATAAATTGGAACTGTAGGATTTTTACAAACTTATCTACCCGTAATTGGACGAATCCACTTAATACAGGACCAGTTGTCGACATCACCAATTATTTCAGGACACGTATAAGGAGTCTTAATGGTGTTATGCTGGTGTATACCTGGGGATAACATCTTATTTTCTTATTAATTCCATTCCTTGACAGAGCCGGATTCAGTATGCAAAAAAATACATGTTAACAAAATAGACGAGTGGACAATTTTTTTTATTTCTTATATAAAATCATCACTCAGATAGAATTTTTCGTTCGATTTCCACCTGCTAAAATCAACAATAATTATGCCACGGTAATTTCCAAACGGCTAGAAATTTACCGCGGGTAAAAACTGACGTCATGATTTGGTGAGTAGGGATAGACCATAGCGCAGTTGCCTTATGTTGAAATACGATTGGAACTTCAGAAATATTAGTTATTCAATCTAAAGGAAAGATTTGTTTGTTTGTTTGTTTGTATGTATTGAGGGTTCGGAACTACTGGATCGATTTGGCTGAAAATTGGTGGGTAGGTAGCTTAGAACCAGGAGAAGGTTATTATCCCGATACAATTAAGATATTCAAGATGGCGGATATAATATATCGGACGATCTTTGTAATTATTGTCTGATTCTTTTCGAAAATGGTATCTCTAGGGGCTCTCGGGGTCG